CCCCCCCCCGCCCGGTACGCCTATGACTGTTCTCCTTATTGTGTTTACTGGATGCAACCACATATTATGTATTGTAAGCAGTAAACTCTAATAAGACTGGAACGATAACTCTTTGAAGCCCGCCATTGGAGGTACGGCAGCGAAAATACACCTCTTCAAAAAACTCGGATTTCTGCCTGGAACATAGATGAAAAACTTAAAAACATCTACGATACTTGGACTATTGCATAAATCATGTTTGGAAGCCGTAGAAAAGACTCAACGTTATTTTTTGTGTACCTGAAAGTCGTATTTTGTTCGGCACGGAAAATACTTTGTTATTTTCTTGAATACAAAAATGGTTCTCTTCGAGATTTTGCTGTTAGTGGATGTTGAATACTTAGAACTATCCAGAAAACCAAGTTTGAATCTTTGAAATTGAAATCTTCGGACGAAAAACCTAATTTTTCGGCGTATTTTTGCTATAAAAACAAAATTACGAGGAAATTGAACTCTCCCCAGTTTATTTTTGAAAGTCATAGCGCGCGAACTTCTCCCGGGCGCCAAATCACAAATGGCAGCTCACGGGGGTTTCTATGGAAAAATCGATTTATTCACGTTTTAGAGCTGTCAAAAAGCACTCAAAATAAACAACTATACCTAGACTTTAATTAATACAAAAAAGGTATTGGTCCGTAGACGTATGTCCCAAAGTATTTTTTTTTAGTTAAAGAGCAAAGTTCACTTCGGCACGTTCAACTAGTGTCGTTTTTATGAAAACAAACCTGATACCCTTCAAACTTTCGTTGTTGTGAGATGCAAAGCACTTCTAACTATCAAATAAATCGTATTTGGGTTCTTAAAATTAAAGTCTTTTGATGAAAAACTACTTTTCTTGCTCATTTTCGTTGAAAATATAAAACTTTGACTGAATTTCTCACCCCTCGAAACTGTCATTAGTCCTTTTAAAAGTGCAATTTCCTTGCACGGTTGGCTACAGGCAAGTATGGGCATGTTTACCTGAGTTATCGTTCCAGTCTTATTAGAGTTCACTGATTGTAAATTTTAAATTATTAGATTAACACACCCGTGAAGCATTCAGGTGGTTGTGGTCGTCGCGCATACTAATATGAGGATACGGCTTTTTGTATTTGTATTTTATGTATATGTGTGGATTAATGTTCGTATTTTGCTGCTTCGGTGTTCTGGCCTTGCATGGGACTTTGCGTCCCATTTTGCTTATGTTATATAAGTATATATAATTATACCTGATAGATTAAAATTAACTATATATAATTGTTTTTGTTTGTGGAAACACCACGTAAATTTATTACTGCAGTAATAAATTTACGTGGTGTTTCCACAAACAAACAAAAAATATATTTTATCGCCATGCAAACATTCAAAGAACTTATAACTATATATAATTATATATACAACATTAATTATATATGTTCTCAATAAATAAATGTTCTCAATAAATCACGTGGAGACACAGTAATAATAGCTGACCTGACCGCAAATTATTTAACAATTTTCGAATAGCTTATTGTGATCTATCAAATCATAAGCTTGAGAAATTACTGATTTGACTTTTTTCTGTAAAACTTTACATGGCTTTTACAATTTGAATATTATAAATTTTGTGTCATTTGCCAGTCATAGTCGTGCCTACTACTTGTAATAACATTTCTCTGATGCCCAAGGTTCCGTCGTGTAAAACTAGTACTTTTCAGTTTTCCTTCTTCAACAGAATGTTCCGCTCTGGAATTGTGTTTGTAAGATAGCTACATGCACCTACAGATCTTCACAATCTAAAACCACGTTTATAACATTTTTATAATTTATTAACTAAAAGTTTTAATGTTAAGATGACCTGTACTTGGTCATTGTATCGAAGATGTTCTTGTCATAGAGTAGTTAATTGCATATGTAACATATATACCAGCTGCTTGATTGTATCATGCATCGTTTTGGCTCACCCACCTTTTAACTTATACACTAATGTATTCATTGTTGTATGGTACATTTTCAATACAGACCATACTGTTGACGGTATTGCCTCAGCATAAGCTGATCTAAGTATATTATATTGTATTATATTGTTTTGTAATCTATGTCGACGCATGGTTATACATATTGGGTTAACCAGTTGGGATATATGTTTACATGAACTGGAATATATTGCATATAATGTGCTTGTGTATTAGGCCACATTAAAAATTACTTGTTTAGCGTCCCCGCCCGACCTGATAAAAGTCCCCGACCTCCATTTTTTTTTTTAAATCCGTCCGAGTTTAGTGCAAAATCTCTCCATAAAAAAGATCGTTTTCCTTGAAAAAATGTTGATTTTATTCTTCTGGGAGCTATGTAATACGTTTACACAAAGTATTACCTTCCCAGAATATGCCTGTTCGCAGCTAAAGTGTTCGCGCGTGACCGCCAAACGGTAATTTTCTGTTTTATTAAAAACATGAACGATATTAAAAAACATGAACGGATTTTGAAAGAATTAAAGTGAGTTTTGACTGTAGAATTTTGTGTTGCATTTTACGAAAAAGAACCCCGCCCGCCCAACCTAGAAAAATTAAAATGTGTGGACGCTAAACAAGTAATTTTTTTATGTGACCTTACTATCTTTTTATACCTAATACTTGAAACAGGAGAGTAGCATGGGTCTCAGAGTCTGTTCGCATGTACTCTTGCCGCTTGAAATTTGTACAACAAAGTTGTTAAAACAAGCTTTTCTAAAATTAAGAACTATAATCCGTATTAACCTGCCAGGCGTCTCCATGGCCAAATACCATTTATGTATAAGGTTATAACAAGGGCCAACACCGGTAACCCGCCCTATTGGCATTCATTGTCATTTGCCCCTATATTCTGCTCCTGTATTTTAGACAAGACACTGGACACAGGTAAGAGAAATTGATCTCAGGACCTCTGCAGCGAAGCAAACTCCATAACCTTTGGAATTGCATGCGTGCGCAAACGTTATATACAGTATAACGTTTCCAATTGTTTGGGAATATTCGTGTCCTGACGATTCATTGAAAATGTTTGCTTAAAATTAACGGAATAGCAAAATTCCTGGCAAACATCTTCAGCGTTTTAATATTGGAATCATACGGACCACTCGAACTCCTAAACACTAAGGACTTTGAACTTCGTTTCTACACTTTCTGCACTAATAACTGGCAAAGATTCGCAGGAACCACCGTTTATCCTGCTCTTTGATAAAATCGACAGTTAGGATTCAGAAAAATTCATTTATATGTTTCGCAGCTTGTTTCTCGTCTGTAGGATGTTCCTTTTCTCAAATAATGTAATAGCCTGTTTGTTTTTCCCAACAATTTTATTTGTATTCTTCCACCAAACATAAGAATTTTTAAAAAGATAGGACGAATATAATTCTGCTAAAAGTTATTTTTCGTGGATCGAACCTCCGCAACAGTTTGGTTTCTAAGACAATAATGATTATTATAGAATACACTGATATCGAAGGAACTAGACTCAGTTCCGAAATATCGCATACTCGAACAGACCTGACCGCGTAGCTCAGTTGGCAGAGAGTTGGGCTAGTATTCCAAAGATCGTAGGTTCGAATCCCACCGTGGCCAGGCATATTTTTCAAGCCTGCCCGGTGTGGATACACACTCAGAGTAACATCACACAGCGTCTTGTTTAAAATCTTCCTGTTGTAAATGGTTTATTGTCTTCGTGTAATTTAATGCAAAAAAGGCGTTAACTTTGTCATTGACATTGTTAATCTAAATGACCTTGTATAGCTTAGAAGGTAGAGCGTCGTTCTAGAAATGCGAAGGTCGCTGGTTCAATTCCCAGCCGTGGTCATAGTAGAATTAATTTTCTGTTTGCCCAGCTCCTACTCGTAAGAACATCACAACACCCACATTTTGGGAAGGGGTAGCTCCCCACCGCTGCCTCCTGGTTCCTACGATCCTGTCTGGAAAGCAATTACTTTTAGGATTGAAATCGTAACTATGAAGGACGTGCTATAGAGGTTTTAGATATCAATTTATCATAGCAGAAGTTAAAACAAATTAGGTAAAGGTAAATTTGAAAATTAATCTCCTCCAAATTACTAATGGCCTGTTCATATGATCCCGCTTACCGAGACGTCTTGCCTACCGAGACGAATATTTCCGTGCGTTCATATGGAGTATTTCGTCCCGCTTGCCGAGATGAAATTACAATGTAGTTCAATAATTAGCGTATGCAAAAAAACTTCTCCAATTCAGTCAAGCAACACAAATATTTAGCGATTTCAGAGTTTTTCCTCGTTTATTTACAACAAAAAGTATTGCTTTAGGTGCATATTTAATAATTGTTTACTTTACAAAACAAACATAAAACTAAGTAAAAAGTGTTAAATTAAACGCCAAGACTTGTTTGACTTCATCCCGGTAAGCGGGCTGGCGTGTTCATATGGAAAATTTTTCATTCCGCCTACCTATGATCTCGGAAAATTCAAGCAAGATCTCGGCAAACGGGCCAGCTAGCCTTCTCATATGAACACGATGCAAAATTTTATAGGAAAACAAATAGGCGGCGAGATCATCGGTAAGCGAGACGTCTCGGTAAGCGGGATCATATGAACAGTCCCTAATTACATATTTTGAAGTATTCGCCATTACTTCATCACAAACACGCCATATTTTATTGCATACACTCTACATATTGCCTTGGGGTGATTCTATATCGATATCCGTTTCCGGATCAAGTTATTAAAGGTTCACTTAACAGAATATTTTTATTTTGTTTACCATGCATGGCTTATAAGCAGTAACTCTATCACGCAAACGTACTAAATTTCTAAAAGGTGTGTGAAGGATGGGACTTAAGAATCATTCTTTACGAAAGGTCTGCCAAGCAGCCTATTCACTTTGAAGAAAAGCCCGTCGATGAGGTTTACACTTCAAAGCAGGTGCTTCCAACTGATAAATATTAATAAATAAATTTATTTATAATGTAAATGTAGTCGTTATGAAACTAGAAATTTATGACTAGTCGTCCAAAGGTTTATCATCGGTATTGAACAATGGCTGTCCTACTTAGCATTTGGGCGTTAATTTTCATGATCTCACAAATACCACAAAGCGAATGCTCGATTAAGCAAGCTGTCTTTCTTATATATAAACAAAAATACTTGGCAAATCACGTCATTGAAACAAGGCAGGTAGAAAGCGAGTTGCAGTGCAGTATGCATTGCGTTGGAGTTGGATCATGTGCTTCAGTAAATTATAAAACTTCTGGAATCGGTAAAGGTCTATGTGAGCTCAACAATAAGACGCTTCGAGAAATATCTGACTCTGATGGAAGTATGCATAACTCTGAGTTCGACCATCTTTATATAGTCAAAAAGGTACGTATTTGAAGAATACGGGAATTATTCCAACTGCATGCTGTATACAATTATATACTTCTCAGTATAGTGCTCTTTCACAAAATTAATTACTGTTTCTGTAAATTGTCGGAGAGTTGTCGTACTTTCAGTTTAACTGAACCTAAAACAACTGTATATGCGTCACCTGTTGTATACATATATATGCCGGGTAGCGTTATCCACCAGTTGATTTTTTCAACCTTCGTAAAAACTCCTAAAAACCTGTCAAACTGCAGATATATGGACCTCACAATATGTATATATATAAAATTTTGTCATTTCTAATTACTAAACGTATATTTGGCACGGTCGTTAAACTATTCAATTAAGGTCAAATTCTGAAGAATGAAAAACTCATTATCCTATGGAGAACGCAATGGCAACCGGCCCATTCCCTGCAAATATATACAGGTTGCAAGTTCTTTGTATGTTTGCATGATGATAAAATATAATAGTTTAGTTTGTGGAAACACCATGTAAATTTATTACTGCAAAGCTTTCGATCCGTAAGCCCGGACCTTCATCAGTGCTAATAATTAATATGTGACTTGTTTAATTCACACGCTCTTTTTTATACAAAAGTGTCGTGTTCTGTTGGCTTGCGTCATTTGAAATTTAATTAAACGGCACATCAACCACGTCATTTCAAACGTAGTGAAGTCATAGATTAAGTAAGGACAGATGTGTAACTTCAGTATTAAAGTTGTCCCATGGTCGCCATCTTCCTAGCAAGTGTCGCTCGCGTGATTATTCGTCATTTGGTCAGTAGCACGTCATTGCTTTCAAAAATGTTTTCAACACCTTTTCTACAACTTTAATTGCTTTTAACAACTTTAAACATTCAAAAAATTATGCTCTTAATTGTTTAATCCATAAATTTCGATCCAGAAAACTTAAAGCCGCAATAAAATGCAAAAGTTCATGTTTTCCAGGACGCCATCTTCCTAGCAAGTGCCATGGCGTGAGCATGACGTGTACATCTAGGAAAATTTGTGGACACGAATTCCTATTAACTTGCACATCTGATATATACTTCATCTGTGGTGCCGAAGTGATTCCAATTGACGCGCGCGCATCCAAGACAAGAGAAATTAATTTTGCACATTAAAGAGAGCACGCCATGTACTATCTAGTGGCTTTCCCTCCTGATCTATAGTATTGTGCTTCTCGATTTCAATTGACTCTCTAATTTTGCGAGAGAACTTATGACTATCAATCACCAAAATGGTTGCTTCGTCCCATTTTATACAATGGTCGTATAAGTCCAAGTATGTTTAGCCACAGCAGATTTATCTTGCGCGATTTCTCGCAATTCGTCTTGTGTTCCTTAAGACGTGATATACAGGTTGATTAGCTTTTTTCACGAAGACCAAAATTCGCCATTTTTGGGGTACTGCATGCGTATCTACCCTCGTGAAAATTTCTGGACAATTCAAACAACGTGAAAATCAGCGACTTTTAAGAGATGTAACTGTCAATTTACCATCATATACAAACAACTATAACTCTAAAAAGTTGTATTTCGTGGTGCGAAGATTCTCAAACTAGGAGAGGCATGCATGCAGTATCAGCCGTATAAGAAAGGCTAATTCCTTAATGGACATCCGCATGCGGATTATAATATTTGAGAATTGAGCTAAATCTTTTAGTTTATCTGTTTTTAGGCATGCACATAGCGCCGCTCGAAAAACCCTTTCTATTTCATTCAAGCTTAATCATGACTATGTTGTAAAGCCTGTATATTCGTTTTTTATCGAAAAGGTTATAACTATAAAAATATCTTATAATAAATAAGAAATAGTGCCAGTGGAATATATAATTATTCTTCAGTGAGATAAATCTATTTCGATAAAAAATTATTATAGGCCTAGTACTGTCTAGCTCACATTAAGAGATAAAACAGTTGATATCGCATAGTCATAGAATTTGAATGTAAAAACGTTTGTGTCGCTAAAACACTGAACAGACATGCATGAAGCTGTTGACTTCAAGAAAAACTTTTCTATATCACGTAAACCTTATTATGGCACGCAGATTGCAGTGATTTAAATTATTACTTTTTGTCTGCTGAACGAATGCAACAATTATACTCATAGAAATGTGAATTGCCAAGAAACACATCGATCTAAATCACGCAGGCCGCTGGGGCAGCCATTCAAAAAGGACAATTAGTTTTGAGCCTTAATATTTGTGGGCGACAATTGTCGTTAAAATTTGGTGTTACGGACATTTAGCTAATCCAATATTGTGATAAAAAGGCCTAATACCAACATTTCGGTATTGATTGGGACATTTTTATTTGCTGCATGACACTAAAGAGTAAATGCATTATAAAACAACATCACAGTTTGCCAGTTATTAAGGAAGGCTTTCTTTTTTACGTTTCTGAGAGAAATGTCACATTCAAATTAGATAGATAGATGAACTTTATTTAGGCACACTAATCTCATTCAACATTATGTTGATTTCCACGAGAGGTGTGCTGACTAACTGCTACTATACGATTTTAAGACTAATTTACTAAAACATACAAACTATTATTATATAAATGCTATTAAATATTCACTTAACTAAACTACTTAATTTAATAATTGGGAGGCCGAGGGCGAGGAGAAAAGGTTTTTACAAAACGAGTTGTATAAGATATCGAATTTCGAATATTTTCTGGTATTCTATTCCATAATTCAGCCCCACTATAACTGAGACTTTTTTTAATAATTTCTGTCCTGGGCATTGGAATAAAAAGCCCAGTTGAAGAACCTCTTAGATTATAACTATTAACAGTGTTGGAAAATTAGGAAATGTTACACAGTCTTTGTGGAGCTAATTGACCATTTGCGTAATAGACTAAATTTTGAACTAAACAAGTCTAGACAAAAATTTCATCACAGCTTGAAGGAGCATCACAAAATTAGTAATATTCCAAAGTTTCGTTGCAAAATGTTGTAAAATGTGGAAAATATAGCCTTGCGAAATTTGCAATTTTCAGTCATTTTAGATTACAAACCGGAAATTGACAGCCTCG